AATGTTAAATAGGTAATATCTAGTCAAAAATTTTAAAACTTTTGAAAGATTCACTGCTGTTGACTAATCCTTCCTTACCGGAATATTCTCTTTCCTTGGCTTTGACCACACCCCGGGAGCTTTCCTCCTGCCTCGTGGGCCAGTCCTAATTCAACTCTTCTGATGGCTGTAATTGTCCTTCCCCAGAAGATTCTCGTCTAGATCCTCTAGTCCTCTTATTCTGTTCTTCCTCCCGGGATAAGTCTCACAGACTCCCATGATTTAAGTTGTTTACATCCTCAGGATCATCAAATGCACACTCATTCATTAAAACATTTGTATCAGGTTTCTACTTTGGGCACTAAGGACTGGAGTTCCGCAGTTAGGAAAGCATTTTATTTTGAGCTTTCATTCCATGCAAGAAGATAGAATTAGAGTGAGTGAAATAAAATGCATTAGATGGTGATGCATTCCAAGGAGAAATATTAAAGCAGATAAGAGAAATGGTATCAGGATGGAACACGAAAATTGTGTTTTGGCCCCTGCTCAGCCCTCAGCTCTGAGCTTCAGGTGCAGGTACCCATGTGCCCAGGGCACCTTGAATGGGTGGCCTAGGTAAGTACCTTAAACTTACCATGACTCAACCTGAATGTATCGCCCCCCTCAACTTTATTCCATCACCACCAATGAGTAGCGCAAACCTGAAAATGTGAGGGTCACCTTTGAATTCTCCCTCATTCCGTCTGTCACAATGTTTGGCCAGTTCTCCAGTATAACGCCAGCCATTTCTCTCTCTCTCTTCACTGTCACTATCCTCATTCAGACCAAAGTCACCTCTCACCTGGGCCCCTGCAATAGCAGATCCTCCACAGCCATGACCGTCTTCCCCCAGGGCGATTAAAACCCATCTTGTCACTCCTCCACCTGAACAGATCAGTGCTTCCAGATCGTTCCAGCGCAGCTCTCCAGCCCCATGGCTCTTAGAGCTCTCGCCCGGGCCTCCAGTCTCCCGCTGCTCTTTCACTCCTACGCTGTCCTCTCCTGGCCCAGGATATGTGCACACACTTCTGTCTTCTTCCTGGAATACTCTCCCCCAGCTCCTCATCGCTCTTACCCACCTTTCAAATCTTAATTGAAGAATCGCTTCATCAGGCACACTTCATCCAAACCCTCAACCTGAGTTATTTGTACCAATTATGAATTCCTAAGATCCTGTCTCCCCCACTTCACAGCGCACCCTCCATCTGCTCTCACTTCTATAATGGCTCTTTCCCTCTCTGCAGTGGGAGCTCCGAGTGGACAAGGACCACATCTGCCTTTTCAACACAACACCCGAGTGCTTATAAAAAATGTTTGACACAGACTAGGTGCTCAGCATTTATTTGCTAAATAAATGAACTAACACTAGAGCAAAGCTTACTAGCACGTGGCTGGTGACGGCTTTTACGTGGCAGTTATATGCTTCATAGGCAGAGATGACTTTGAATCATGACTTCCTAAGAGCACTTACCTTTTGCCTCCTCATTGTATTCCTGGAATCCTGGAGGACACGCTCTAACAACTGACACATCTCCAGTTTCCAGCAGTGCCCTCCCTTGCACGTCACTGTTCCAATTTTCACCTTCCTAGGCAGTTATCAGCAAATTCTTCCAGAGAGATGTCCTAGTGTTGATTCAGCTGTACAATAAGGATCCACTTTAGGTATAAGTTGATATCAGGTTTCCTAACTAGTAGGAGTGTCTCTTTATTTATATTAGTTACAGCTTTTGGTAAGAGGTATCCCTGAGATGTTACCACATAAAGAAAATAAATAATCTTTTATCGTTTCTCCTTTTGATTGCTGCTTGGGTCTTGAATACATTTTCTTCTTAACCTAAACTTAATTCCCTTCAAATATCTGCTCCTCTCTTCTCTGGCTAATCTATGATAATTGCACCAAATTTATGTCCACTCAGTCTTTATAGATTAATGCTACTAAGCCTTGTTTGCTTTCCTGTCCATTCATTATGCCTCATTCATTAAAAATCTCTAATATTTATCAATCACATGCCAAATGCTATGCATATATTTGTCATTCTACAACAGGGGTGGGTAACCTTTTGTCTGCCAAGGGTCATTTGGATATTTATAGCATCATTCTCGCGCCATACAAAATGATTGACTTAAAAATTAGCTATGATAAAAGCTCCTAGATTTATTGAATTTCGAGTCCCGCCTGTGGTTGCCTTTGGAGGGCCAGACAAGCGATTTTGTGGGGAGTATATGGCCTGTGGGCCAGACATTCCCCACCCCTGTTCTACAACAATCAAATGGAGGAGGCACTATTATTATTTTCATTTTTATAAAAGAAGAAACTAAGGTTTGGAGAGGTTAAGTGACCCGCCCAATCACAAAAGCTACTAAGCATTTGAACTGAAATTTGAACCCAGAGTTAGGCCTCTGGTTCCTAGGCCAGTCATCATCATTTTCAGTGGATGGCAATATTTGTGGTTTTGTTCTGTTCACTGAATTTTGGTCTTTCAGCCTAAACTGAAGTGAGCCTAAGTAGTAGGGGCAGGCAGTGCAGAAGGTGCCGCCTGGATAATCAAGGTCAGAAGGAAAATCCTGTGTTGAGGTGTTGTCCAGAGCAAGAGATCTCTAGGCCTTCACCTTGGTTTCCCTGAGGTTCAGACTACGTTAGGAATCCTCTGGGTATAATATTAACCATCTCAACTTTGTTTTCCCTCCAATATGGTCAGCTTGTGTAAAAGATTCCCATTGTGTGTAAGAGAGGGAAAAAAAAGGAGATCCGCACTGTTTGCGGTGCCGTTTTACCGCCTCTCATGCAGAAACTCCCTAACCGGTGAGGGCTCGGCGCCCGCCCCCTGCTCCCCGCGCCGCCAGGGCAGCT